GTGATTGCAAGGCTAAAACAAAGGTTATGTGCCTGATCCTGTGCAGTGATGTTGCAGGATCCTGGTTCAGTAGTTTGTGCAGGAAGACATCCTCCTATATCGTACCATCTCTTCCTGTTTCTATATTTAGCTTTCATATCTCCCCTTTCTGCTGGAACGAGCTATCAAACCTGAGCATCACCTGAAAACAAAGTGATCCGATTAGACAAATCCTTAAAGATGAACAGATATTTGTTGTAGCAGTGAGTGTGAGAGATAAACACATGAATGGGAGGCTGAACTGACCTCAGGTGACCCCACATTGACCTCAGATGACCTGCTTCAGCAAAACATGTACATAGGGAAAACAAAGCATATGGAAAATTTATTAAAAAAAAACAATAATAAAATAAAAAAATCCACTTTGATTGTGGTTCTCCTATAACTATTTTACCAATGGCTCTATCTGCCACAAGTAGGATATAAACTAACCTCTTTACAAATGACACTTTAAATATAAATCTCAAACATCCCTTTAAAGCCAAAAAAGGTTTCCTACTTAGCCTTGTCACCTCCTTCCTGCGTATTCCTGGAGTTGCTAAGTGAGTTTGGCTCCATAGGAGCAGATGGAATATGAAGAGATTCGATGGATCTGCTTCTTCTCATGTTTGCCAGACCACATGAATGTGGGACCCGTGGGGTTTTTAGACAATAAATACTGAGATAACTCTCACATGTTGAAGCAATGTCACTCTATTAAAACAATAAAATAAAATAAAAACTTTATACCAACTGCGGAGCAGAGAGGGGAGGTGTTAGGTTTATTCAGTGATGATTACAAATTGTGTGCTTATAAAACATTTGTGCAGGGGGATGCTCCACTCCTGTCATGATTCAGTCAGGAGACCATCCTGCCTTGTCATTCTGATGGAGCATTCTGTCTTCATGAACTGATCAATTGTTCTGTCAGAAAAATACTCTGTTTGTAACCATGTGTCATGTTCTGTTAATAAAACTGCTCTGCGGAGGAGGTCCAGTGGGTGCGTTTGAGTCTGGGGTTCAACTGTCTCTCCTTCCTGTAGGAATTTTATCCATAAATTGTGTATTTCAGTTCTTCTTAAGCAAAAACCTACATTGTATGAAACCGACAGGAGGTTTTTAACAGGACGGTCCTGGTTCTAGTCCTACAGAGCTACTGAGCTGCAATTTTTAGATGCATTCCTTCTCCAACGCATCTAAATGGCTGAATTCTCTCATCAGCATTCAGCTCTGCAGAGGCCTGGTAACCAGACATTAATTTGATCAATGTGTGGTGAAGCTGACATTTAGAATTTACCTGCTCTTATTTTTCTTCTCATATTCTACTAAATAAAATACAGAGAGGCTGATCCATGGAGGGAAAATAAGTTCAAAAGGTCTTTTAGCTCAGTGTTTCAGGATGTAGTCAATAAATAAGTATTTTTCCAGTAGTTTATACCTGGAAGGTTTCTGGACCGACTCATAGAAACCTTGACAACTCGTCAATATGACCAGTTGGGTGCATAGAAATATTTGAATCCTGCATTAAAAACAACTATTGTACAAGCAAGAGGCTAAGATGATAGAAGTGCTTTGGCCTTTTCATCAGTTCACACGTACCTGTTGCTTTCAGTCACGTTTTTGTGCCTTAGAGGAATATTGGGATACTGTAGGTGCCAAAATGAGCTGTTTCCATTTATCTATTGTTATACCACATTCCTATATGCACATAACATGGGAAAAGAGACACAGAGGACAAACAACCATGGACTCACACACACTTAAGGGTAATTTAAAGATGCTTCCTAACCTAACAGTCATTTTTTAGACAGTGATGTCATATTTCTTCAGTCTTTTGGTCCTGGTATGATCCTTGATACACAGATTTAGAGCCTAAATAAAGAAATGAGATAGAGAAAGGGGACAGAGTCCTTTGAGACTCCTGATTTTCTCAGAATATTGAGCAATATGATATTAGAGGAAATTTGCTGGGGCTTTTATTCTCGACTAAGTTTTGTGTAGCAGCCCAAATCCTCATCAGATACAAATGCTAAAATCTCAGTGTTTTATCCATAACAAATGTTTCTCTAAGGAAGTGAAACTAGAAACCAAATCTGTGCATTCAGCTGTTTTTTTAGTGGTTATAGAATGATGACAGATCGAAAGCTGATAGAAGCTTTCTAGAAATTCTTAGTCAGTGCATGAATGTCTTTAGAGAAATGTGAATAGATAAGGTTCAGAGAGGGGGAGTGAAACAAAAAACACAAGACTGGAAATAAACTTGTAGCTCCTAATGTCAAACGATGTTTCGATGTGCGGACATTTAATTGACTTGCATTCATTTTATATGGCCTTACCCAGACCCTTACCCTAACTATTACCAAAAATATAGCTAACCCTATGGAACTGAATTCACACCTTAATCCTAAACCTAACCCCGGCTCAAAGAAATTAACTTTACCATATAAGGAGCAGGATTTTAGTCCCCATAAGGACATAGGTCCCCATGACGTGACTGTGTATACAGATTAAATTTGCCAAATGTTCATATCCCAAGCTGGGTCGTGAGAGGTGCTGATGCCTATCTCCAACTGTCTACAAGCGAGGTACACCCTGGACAGGTCGCCAGTCCATTGCAGGGCAACACAGAGACAAACAGGAAAAACAACCATTCACGCACACACACTAACACCTAAGGAGAATTTAGAGAAGCCAATTAGCCTAACAGTCATGTTTTTGTACTGTTGGAGGAAGCCAGAGTACCTGGAGAGAACCCACGCATGCTCAGGGAGAACATGCAAACTCCATGCAGAAAGAGCTAGGCCGGGAATCGAATCCAGATTTTCTTGCTGCCAGGCGGCAGTGCTACCCCCCTGCGCGCGTGCGTGTGGCCATGTCTTTAATAACTGGTGGGGACAATTCCTAGGAATATGCTACATTTATGGGACTCATAGGTACTTGTGGGGACCAACAACTGGTCCCCATAAGGAAAGTTTCTCTTCTTGGGGTGGGGGTTAGGTTTAGGACTAAGGTGTGAATTGAGTTTAGGTTAGGTTTAGGGATAGGTATGTGTCGGTAATGGTTAGGGTTAGGGCAAGGGTCATGGTTAGGCCATATAAATTAGTGGGAAATGAATGGAAGTCAATGGAAGGTCCCCACAAGGATATTGTGACACAACAGGTGTGTGTGTGTGTGTGTGTATATATATATATATATATAAAAACCAAGGTACAATCAATATACTGAATACACAAGATATATTCCACAGTTTGTCATTTATGTCATGTTCGTCTGTTGGCATCTGTCACAATATTAGTATTTTCATTAATTAGTGGTTTAATACATACAGTGTACAGTGCTTTTGTCACAACTGGTTTGCTTTGCAACAAACAAAAAAAGAACAGAAAGTAGAAACATCAGAGAGAGGACTCTGGAAAACCGACAAAGCTTCATACAAAAGGACTGAATCTCATTTCTTTCTGAGGTAAACATCTAACAACCTGCATGGAGAAAAAAACAGAGGAGCTCACGGATCTGTTAATGCTGTTAGTGGGAAACAAATGAAAATCTGACCTCCACAAAAGTTTGAAATCCGGCTATAGGTTGAAAACATAAAAAAGAGAACAGAAAAGCAAGCAGTAGTTTTAAGTTTTCTTATTGTGAACCATCAGTAAACCACCCAAAGTCCAAAAAAAACCGCAGTATTGCTGCTTCATTGGTTGAACAACAACATACATTAAAGGCACATTCAACAACAACCCCGTTCCCTTTAGATCAGTAAAAACGAAGAAAAAAAGTAACAAATGACCAGTTGGTTACAAAATATAACCAATTCTCAAGGAAATACACAAAAAACAAGATGCTGATGCTGCTCATCAACATGAAACACATGGTATCTCTAAATCCCTTTATAAAGCACATTTTTTTTTATTTTCAATGCTGCTGCACTTTCAATATTGCACCAAAGTTTGAACAAAATGAGAATGAAAAAAAAAAAGACCCTTAATCTCTAATGTGAAACTAAGTAAATTTTGTGCTCTAATTAGTTAACTGTGTGTGAAAGTATCAGAGACACACAGATCTTTGCATTAGGGAAGACCTAGGACTGTGTGCTTGGCATTAGTACAATGCTTTCATACAAACTCCTCCCAATCAAGCAGTTAAACTACACAACGTAAGCGGTTGCCAGGTTGGAGCATTATACCCCCCCTGCCCTCATTTAAGACCCAGCTACTTACACACAGTAAGTTTAAATACTCATTCCGTTCTAATCAAGTTTGACTACAAGGTTGGGGAATGGTTGCAATGTTTGGATGCCATCCCTCTCCTTAATATATTTTATCTCTATGGAGGTTTGAAGTTGAGGCACCCATTCAAGTATTTGCAGGTTGGATATTAGTTTCCTGTGAAGTGGGGTCGCTTGAAAGCCATGTCTGCTGGTTCGGTCCAGCCCTACCTCATCAGATTTGGGTGTGGGCTCATCTAATTTCTCAAACTAAGGGTTCATCCTAAGTTCCCCAAATGTCTCCGAATTAAACCACCAAGATCCGCTTTCACCAACGTTTTTTTTTTGCTGCCATGTTGGTCTCTAAATGAGAAAGCTCCAATCTGACTAAGCAAAGTCCTGAGATTGCTGCAACAGTTGGTGAAGATTAAATAAAACAGCTAAGTTTGTACCATGTTGAGGCAACTTAAACCATTCATATTATATTGCTGCAGATCTCTAAACTTCTACTGATTACCAAACAATTTAACAAGACAAGACTCATATTTAAATCTCCTGTTAATGCTAAAATGTAAAAGTTTGAAGGATTAAGTGTGGCATAAAATAGGATTTTTTATTTTTATTTTAAGAAGGTAGAAATTGAAAGATACTGACTGCAAATACAAAACACATTCTTGGACTTAAAACTTAAATATTGCTCACTAAATCTAGGTCAACATTAATTGAATGATTTTATTTATATTTACTCAATAGAACCCACTTCCCAAATATTCTCTGAATTGGATTTATTTTCCCCCTCTTTCTTACCTTTGCATGGCTTTCACTCAAAACCACTTCAGAGTCCAAACTACTGTCGTCTTAAAAAGAAAGCACACCCCTCAGGTGCACTTAGTTTCACACAATCTTCTACATCCCTTTAAAAAGGAAAAGTGTTGCTGTGTAGTTTTATAATCTATTGCAGTAAAATCCTGCATTCGCTTTAGCTCCAGTCTTTATTTCAGTGCTTTTCCGAGTACGAAGCGACCTAACATGACATCTCAAATGGCAAAAGAATCTCAGACGTACATTCAATGTGTTTTATCGTTGTGCTACAAGAAACCAAGAGGAGAGGAATGGAAGACGATAAAAGTAGAGCCAGAAGAGGCTGCTTAACCCAACCGGTTCAGTCAGATTAATAAAAGTGTTTCAGGGAAAATACAGGGTTCATGAATCCTAACAGATAATTTCCATGAAAGTATTTAACATCTCATACTTCTCGTCTGCCATCTAATAGCATCCTGCATGAAAAGATCAAACCTCCTAGATAAAGATGAAAACAAGGGGTTTAGGAGCAGCATTATAAGATTTGGCTCATAAATCTGCTGCGTCTCATCAAATATAGGGACTCAGTAGCATCCTAAAACATCAACGTGACGATTAGTTAACAGTGTCAGAAGAATCTTCTTCAGGATAATCTCAGGGAAAATTACAAAAACAGCTGATGGCAGGTCGACTAGCAACTAATGAGCAGAAGCTGGGATGGAAAACTTGGCGACCTTTTTAAGTGCACGAATCAAGATTTTGCAAGTTCTAAACATTTGCTTCCAATAAGTAGATTTTTGGTAGACAACAGCCGCTCCGTCCACTCCAGGATGTTTCATATCATAGAGTTTGATGGAGCTCATGGGCCTCTTGACCAGCCGCTGTTTAGGTGTGATGCTGCGCGATGAGGCTGCGGAGCTGTTTGATGACGGCGTCGATGAGCTTCTGTCTGTCTCTGTCCGCCTTCTTGAACTGGGCGAGGACGACGTTCTTCCTGCTCGTCTCCTTCATCCTGGGGGACAGAAGGAGGAGGACAATGATTAGATGGATGAAGTGGAATGACAGCAGTATAAATGCTGCAAATGTAGAGGAAAGATTCAAAATGCCTCCATAGACGGGCAATCTGTGTCAGCCTTTCAGCAGTGCTGTGAGAAGTATTCATCCCCGTACATTAGACGTTTAAAAGTTCAATCAGTTTAAATAAATAAAAAAAATGGTTTTAAATGATTTTATCAATGTAGGGAAATAAACTAAACCTTGACTGTGTGAAACAAAATAATAACCTCCCTCATGACATCACTAAATATGGCCTTTTTTTCCAACATAAAGAATGTTAAAACTTCTAAAAAAAAAAGTCTCCAAACTACCAAACATTGAGCATTAAATGAGACAAAGTCTCTATCAGTCCATCAGTCATTTATCTGAGGCTTTGGGACATCAAAGGATTACGGTGCCAGCCGCTTTCCACAAAGGAGAAAACATTACATCTCTGTGAACCTTCACGTGAGGGCCCACCCTACCACAGCTACTCCAAGAAGGCCTCAACCATTGATCCAGAAGGTTGCAAAAAACAACAAAAAAAGAAAGGCCAACATCTAAAGCACTACAGACCCCATTTGCATCAGTTAAAGTCAGAGTGTGTGGTGCATTAGCTAAAAACAGACTCTTAAAAGATGGCAGCCTTACGAGGCAGAAACCACTGCTGAGCAAGAACAGAAAGGTTCATCTTTGCCAAATACCATCTACATCAAAACATTTGGAGTTTCCTGGAAGACTGTGGGTCCTATTACATCTGCTGCAAACCTAACAGCACTTAAGAAAAAAGACATCAAACCAAGAATCAAACATGGTGTTGAGGTGTTGCTGTTTTGCCTCGACTGGCAAAACATGTCAGACCTGAACTTCGTCAAGAATCTGTGGATCGACCGCAAACGGTGATCCACAACATCCCCCAGCTCCATTAGGAAACCTCAGAGGAGCATTTAGTAATTATTGGTGAGTTATTTTGAGGGGACAGCAAATTTACACTAAATTATGTTACTTTCTATTGTGTGAAAGTGTTATATCTTTAATTTGGTCTTATGGAAAGATGCAATGGGAAAGCTGCATTTTGTAAGATTTTGCAAACATTTCTTTTCTTTAAAAAGTTCAAGTATGACCAAAACCTATGCGTGCAGAGCCAATGCTTTTTCACATGACTGTAAATAAAAAATGTAAATCCTTTATTGACCCATAATAAGGAAATTCACTCTCTGTTGTTCATTTACTATCTGAAAAGCTGTACTACACAAAAAATAAAATTTTATTTTGTATACACTCTGTGTAAACAAAATGACAATAAAAGTTGTCCAAGTCTAAGGCTACGTTCACACTGCATCCGGAAGTGACCCAAATCCGATTTTTTTGGCCCATATGCGACCTGGATCTGATCTTTTCATGGCTGTCGGGAAAACATAGATTCGATTTTTTCCAATGCGACCCAGGCCACTTGGCTATGTGGTCCTGAATCCGATACCAATCTGATCTTTTCAAATGTGACCTGGGTCTGAACGGCCAGGTGGCATTTATCCGACCCGAACGCCATTAATACCTGACATTGGTCACTAATTCTGGGTCTTGCTATGAAAAAGTGGCAAGAAAAACAACAACCATTGTGGACAATAATGCGGAGAGCAGTATTCATGTTTATTAATCTTAAAAAGATTGTGTTTTTATGGTTGGAAAATATTGCTAGATGCGCTCCAGCACTACCATCCATGTTTACTTCCGTAAACATAGAGCACGCTGGCCTGTGATGTCATTGCATCCTCTACTGCGCATACGGGACACTTGCGTTGTATGAAGTTGTATCCCATACAAGTGGCATATAAACGCAAATAAATCGGATTTCACAAAAAAAAAAAAAACAGAATTGAGCATCAAGGCCTGCAGTGTGAACGCAGCCTAAGTCTCTGCCTTTAACCAATTACCTATGGGAAGCAGCAGGCTGCCAACGTTGGCACCAGGGGAGCAGTCTGGGGTTTAATGGTCTTGCTCAGGGACCCCAAGTGGTTAGGGCATTGGGTCCAGGAGGTTCTGAGTTCAAGTCCAACACAGTCCCATGGACTGCCACTTTGGGTCTCTGAGCAAGACTGTTAATCCCCACACTGCTCCCTAGGCGTTGCACAATGGCAGCCCGCTGCTCCCCAAAGGGATGGGTTAAATCCAGACAGTGAAATTCATTGCTTTGTACTTGTGACAGTGTAATGACAATAAAGTTGGATTTTTTTCTTCATTTGAAAGGTTCCACCTGGGCATAGAGGTGCAGCAATACCCTCTCTCTCTCTTTATTATTGGGATTTATGTTGTGCTTGTTAGTGTTCTTGAGCACGTAATTGGTGTAAAAACTCTTACAAGCCAGTAATCCACAAAGACTGATTAGAACTTTGTTTACATGCAGGCTGTGTGAGAGAGGATGCGATAAACGTCTATGATGACACAGATGCACACAGATGTGGGTGTTGTTGGAGAGATAAATCTCAGTATCATCAACATATCAGTTCACTTTCTGTTAACCCTGAGAATCCCTCAGGTGAAATTTCACACTCTGACTTTTAAAAAACAATTAGGAGGGGTTTAACAATACATGCCTGCAGAACACACACAGTCGTACAAACAATACTCACGGCTTAAACAACCTGTCAAAACAGGAGAAAGGGGAACAACAGGAAGCAGGAGTTAAGATGAATACGATAAGCTGGAAATCATTTAAACATTGCTTTTCTTTTTAAAATGAAATCAGGAAAATTAATTCCCACTAAAACCAAATTAGATAGAACTTTGTGGGTTTAAGTATCTCTTTAATGGTAATGAAATTCAACCAGTTCTAATTTCTGAACTTTAATCAACTAAACTTACCCATTATTGACACAATCCTGTCCAATCACAGTACAGTAATAAAGTATTTTAATCCTTCATCCATTTTTAAGGTTTATTTGCTTCCTAATGTTTAAAATGACTAATTGGTCATGTTCTTCTGATAAAGCATTAAGGTTTATCATTATACAGAAAGTATGATATTTAATGTTTTTTTTCTTTAGAGCTATTTTGACTTTGTGCTGATAAAGATTCTCAGTCATCCAGGTCATAGTCATTACGTAAAAGTAAAAGAAAAAAAATCCACTGGACTTTGTTTCCTGGTGGCGAAACATCTTCAAATCTTGGAAACCAAGTCCAGTGGATTTTTTTTTTTTTTACTTTTAGGGAAATATTTTGACTTTGCTTTTTCCTATTAAAAAATATTTAAGAAACTAGTCAGGCTGGCAAACATATAGAAAGTTAAGAAACAGAAACAAGCTAAATTGTTGGTAAGGAAAACAAACGGAACAAAGGCAACATGACTACTCACTTCTCCAGAAGCGCCAATGCTGTGTGTGGGTTGACTCTCAGGTATTTGCAGGTGGGTTTGCCGTAGTCGGCCAGGTAGGTGGACCAATCCCACTGGGTGAAAAGGTCCAGTAACTGTACAAGAACATTGAGAAAGAGGAAGAGAGAGATTTAGAAAAAAAATTACTCACAGATTCAAAAATATAGCCTGAGAACTTCAACACGAAAATCAACAACGTCCACATGCTAAGGCTGATACGGTAACGAGCTGCAGGAACAGGGAATTATTACACTTTAGAAGTTCAAAGCTAAAAAATAGGATGAAATATAGACAGATTTATGGAGATTATTCAAATTGACAATGAGCTCTTAGAGTTTCCTTATCAGAAATTTCTTAGGCTCAAAGAAAATGTAGCTTTTCAAAGCTTATTTACACAATAATTCGTTCCACTTATGAGAGTTTTGTTATACAAGCTTTCAACTTTTATTAAAAAAATAGAACCACTTAACCAAGAACAGACCGTTTTCTGGAGAGCTGATGTTAAAGTTATATGCAATAATATTTTACAATTCTGAATATCTATATAGCATCACCAACAAAGTAAAATAAAACAAGCAGCTCTAATTTTAACCTAATGAAACGGCATTGCTTGTTTCAAAATAGCTGAGTAAGGAAGAGCAAGTTTTGTCCCTCGCTGACCTTCCTGTTATGAGTTAACTCTGCAGTGTTTTCTCAGTGCTAAATGAACAATGAGTAAACAAAGCCGCTATAATCTTCCTAAGAACTTAAAGGGGACTATACAAACTGAATTAGCATTGGATTTACAAACACTGGTGCTGCTGTGACATGGTCTTGGCTGCTTTCTTTACTCCGACATGACAAACATCTGACCTCCATTAAAAACCCACCAATATTCTTGTGACATCTTGGAAATTGGCATTATTTTTTTTAAAAGACTGACAGAAAACAGAAATAAAGAAGCAGTGAGTGGAGAGAGAGAAACTAAAGCAAGGCTACGAGGAACGGTGTCATCTTCTCCTAAATGACCCGCTATTCACAGTGTTGCATAACCAGCTGCTGACCTGCTGAACCCTCCGTAAAACACTCAAACACGCATGCAGAAACAGGCCCTGGCAGGCTAACCCATAAGCCACCACAGTCTGTGTGTGTGTGCAGGGAGCCCCAGTGAACTCCACATAACACCAAACACACACAGATCCAGAGAGAGAAACCATATGTGAGCGAGGGATGAGAGAGAAGTAGGTGGGGCAAAGAAAGAGATGGAGAGCAAAACCACATGTGGGCGAAGATGGAGGGGACAAATGAGAGAGAGCAGCGATGGAAACAGATAGCTAAAATCAAATGCAACAAAGAGGAGGAGAGGTAAAAGAAAGGTAGGGTAGAATCTATAGGACGAGGAAAAGAAAAAGAGGTAAAGACTGGGCGTTAGAGGAGCCTCATCAGAGCACAACAGTAAATGAATGAACAAATTATTAGCTTTATGAATGACATCACTTTATTTTGAACTGTTTTTGGTAGAGGAAATATAATAAGCAGCATCTTATCTGATTGAATAGTTGTTGGCATGATTTCAGTTTAAGAATCAGAAATTCTCATCAAGGCATCAAAGCACATTCCTAGAGTAGAGAAGATGGATTCCTTAGTTAAGCTGAAAGCTTCTCAAAGTCAAGCTAACTGCTCTTCTGAGTCAAGGTAAAAACCAATGACTTGAGGTAACGGCGGCTCACTCTGCTAACAGCAACTAAGACTTGAAGTAACATCCACTGGGACTAGAGCCGATGTCCCCTCGGACCAGAGACCACATCCATTCAGACGAGAGACCAAGTCCCCTCGGACGAGAGACCACGTCCATTCAGACGAGAGACCAAGTCCCCTCGGACGAGAGACCACGTCCATTCAGACGAGAGACCAAGTCCCCTCGGACTAGAGCCCACGTCCCTTCGGATTAGAGCCCACGTCCCCTTGCACTAGACACCATGTCCCTTCAGACTAGACACCACGTGACACCATGTCCCTTCAGACTAGAGCCCACGTCTCTTCAGACTAGAGCCCACGTCTCTTCAGACTAGAGCCCACGTCTCTTCAGACTAGAGCCCACCTCCCTTCAGACTAGAGACAACGTCCACTCAGAATCAAGCTAACAACTACCTGTTGAACTGAGGGGGTAATGGGATGATTTGGGGTTCTTTTGCTTTTTCTATATGTGAATGACATTTTATAAATATTTTTCTCTCCTGAGAGAGAAAAACCTTTAAGACATTATCTGTGTAGGAGATTGACCAAAACAAAACTAGAATGACAGAATCTGAATGGGTCAAAAACAAAGCAAAACAAAAACACTGAAAGAGGAAGAAATGGCAAAACAAAGGCTTAGGTGTCACATCGTCAAAGTTAGGACTGAAAAATGCCATGACTTTTATATATATATATATATATATATATATATATATATATATATATATATATATATATATATATATATATATATATATATATATTCCTTGCCATGACTTCGCAATCTGTGCTCAAATACCTTCTTATGTTCTTATGTTACAGAATTAAAATAATTTTGCAATAAAAAATTATTCTATAAACAGTAATAAAAGTTGTTTGAATATTGAAACAGGTAAAGGACTCTAAACTGTGTGACAGATGGACGCTTGAAGGAGTTTTTAAAGGTAAATTTGAATGATTTCTTCCTTTTTTTTAAAATGATATGTGGAAGTTTAAAGAAGCAAAGAGGTTGTGGTTACTACCAGAGTTATTCCCTAAAAGAGGAAGTTTCCTAAATGTTTTTTTTTTTTTCTGTTTAGTTCAATCAGCTATCACACAGGGAAGATGAATGCCTCTTTTGTACTTCCTCCCCTTTCTCCTTGTTTTCCTCCCACCTTCGTCACACTCCCACTATCTGCTATCTGTTTTCTTCTCCTTCCCCAGTCCTCCCACTGCCGCTTTCCCCTCTCCTTGTCCTCAAGTTCACCCCTTTGTGGCCGAGGTTTGACCTGCTAATCCTCTCGCATAAACAAGTACAAACAGGCGTGCTGCGTGCGCACTCAGGAACAGGTACATGTGAGGCTAAACAAAAAAAAAAAAGAAAAAAATCAGTGTTAATTAGATACAGGAAGCTTAACAGGCTGTTCTGGCTTCGTTATCATCAATTTGGTGGATGCAGCTTCCCAAAAAAGATTTAATTTTAATTTGTTGATTTAATATTCATGGATATTGAGATCAAACTGACCTTTTATTTTAACAGTGTGTGTTTTGTTTTTGTTTTTTGTTTTTTTGCGAAATGACTACCAAGGCCTGGTTAAGCTTTTCAAACTATTATATAGTTGGTAACATTTTCAAACATAACTTACTCATCTGCTTAACCAGATTTTTATCTGAAAAAACAGATCTTGGATGACAACTTCCAACAGTTATCCATCAACTACAATTCCCAATTTTGTTTCTGTTGCTAAAACTGTCACTTTTTGTTCATCATCAACAATTGCAAAAGATTGGAAACATTTCCTTTCAGTTCATTACATATTTTTCCAGGTAGTCCCGTCAAATTTAAGAAACGAGGAACTTTGATGTTTATCATTTATTTAATACAACAAGTAATTGATTTACCTTGCTAAAAACTCAACTAAAGTGAACAGATAAATATAGGAATGACTGCATAGTGTTTAGAACAGAGTTCAAGGCCCAGTTAGTCCCATATTGCTCTCAGTGTTCGCTGTAAGCTGTCCATTGATCACTAAGGGTGACAGGTTAAATACAGAGAAAATAATTTTGTGGAATGTTAAAAAAAAAAAAAAGGGAAAATAAAGGTGATAATTTATTATTTATAAAAATAATCTGTAAACCAAACAATGAGAACAATTACTGCTCATGAAGCTGGAATCGCGTCACACCAGCCGCAGCATTTGTTAATCCGATTCCAACTCAGTTTGTATAGTCCCTCTAAGTTCTTAGGAAGATTAGTACCAAGTAACCTCCACAGTTAACTCATGATAGGACCCTCATTTAAAGTGGTATAAAAAAAATATACCACATAGTTACAACTTTCATGTTCCATGAAGGCCATGATTCTACAATAAGAATAAACTAAACTGAATCTTTCAAGAAAATATTTATAAAACAAAAAAATTTTATTGCTATTTTGGCATGAATTGCTTTCAACCATTATATTCAATATAGACCTGAAACCATTTTTCTCAACTGTAATAGTTCCTTTATATGAAGACTAAAAACACATTTGTTTAGGATTGCCTTGGACTGTTCTAGTTAAAAAGTTCAACTGAAACATAATTAGTTCATTCTTTTAATTTTTCTTCAGTCCAACTGCTTTGTTTGTTCTTTCTTGTTTCTGCATATTTTTTTCTTCTACTTGCACTGATTCTGTTTTATTTTCCTATATTTTAATCATGTAGAGCACTTTGCATTGTCTTCGTACTAAATTGTGCTATACAAATAAATTTGCCTTGCCTTGCCTAATAGCTAACTGGGAATATTCAACTACCAATTGTGATCCAGCTTGAGCAGCAGACGGTGCTTTTTGAGAAACTGATGTTTGTTTTGTGTCTAGAAGTACCAGAAGGAGTATTTAGAGCAGCCCTGACAGAAAGTGCTGTACTGCAAATAATTATAATTATAATAATTATAGTTTTAATGAGGATCATTTTATCACGAGTAACTTATGTGTTGCATTTTCTGTATTCAAGCTCATCTGTTTCGGCTTTTTCTTTTCAGGGGTCGCCACTTAGAGCCACGTATCTCCTTTTTTGCTCCACCAGCTACCTAAAAGTCCTCTCTAACTCAATCCCTAGGTCTCCTCCTTGGTCTTTCTCTAGGTCTCCACATTCTATCAATGAACTCACCATCACCCTCTGTTGTACATGTCCAAACCATCTTAGTCTGGCCTCTATGGCTTTATCTCCAAAAATTCAAACATGAACATAAAAATAACAAAATCATTATATAAATTATGCTTAATATCATCCGTACAGAATAAATACACAAAAAATTAGAGTAATCTTATGTTAACCCTAGCGATTGCTAATTGTTACCTTCTTAAAAAACTTGTGTTTTCTCTTGCATCAAACATCACACATACTTATATCTAGAC